TCAACTCCCTCGACCTAACCCAACACTATTCACAACGATGACAGGAGTCACTCACCCTTTCGACCCTTTGTCGGGCGATGAGATTACTGTCGCCGTTGAGGCAGTAAAGCAAGCCTATGGAGACCTCTTTTTCCAGGCTGTTACTCTGGTCGAGCCTCGCAAGGCTGAGATGACCAACTGGCTCCAGAACAAGACTTCAGCTCCCCGTCCCAACCGAATTGCCGATGTTACAGCTATCGATCCCGCAGGCAAGGTCTATGATGGTTTCGTCGACCTCGCTACTAAGAAGATTGTCAAGTGGGAGCAACTCAGTGGCCTTCAGCCCATTGTAAGTTTCGGCAACCTTCTCAACTCTCTTCAGCAACTAACACTCGTCCTATAGATCACTCTGGAGGAACTCATCGCTGTGGAGCATGTCTGCCGCAAGGACCCCAAGGTCATTGAGCAGTGCATCATCAGCGGTATCGCCAAGGAGGATATGGACAAGGTCTACTGCGATGCTTGGACTATCGGTTATGACGAGCGCTTTGGTAACGACATCAGACTGCAGCAAGCCCTGATGTACTACCGTCCCCACGTCGATGACTGCCAGTACCAGTACCCCTTGGACTTCTGCCCCATTTTCGATCCTATCAAGAAGGAGGTCATCGCCATTGATGTTCCCAAGATCCGAAGGCCCATGCCCAAGATTGGCCGAGCCATCAACTACCACCCGGCTGGTGTTGAGAAGGCTGGTGGGTACAGAAAAGACATCATGCCCCTCAACATCACACAGCCTGCTGGCGTCTCATTCAACCTCAAGGGCCGCGAGCTCCAGTGGCAAAACTGGAAGTTCCACATTGGTTTCAACTACCGCGAAGGTCTTGTTTTCAATGACATCAAGTACAACGACAAGGGTACCGACCGTGATATCTTCTACAGACTTTCTCTGGCCGAGATGGTTGTTCCTTAGTAAGTACCGAAACCGACTATAGTTTTCGACCGAAAGAACCATTCACTAACCATTGTCAACTCAACAGCGGCAACCCCGAGCACCCCCATCAGCGGAAGCACGCTTTCGATCTTGGCGAGTATGGTGCTGGTTACATGACCAACAGTCTCTCCCTGGGCTGCGACTGCAAGGGCGCAATCCACTACCTCGACGCCGAGTTCCCCCGCCGCGATGGTACTATCCGCAAGATCAAGAACGCCATCTGCATCCACGAGGAGGATGCCGGTATCCTCTTCAAGCACTCCGACTTCCGTGACGACTCCGTCATTGTCACCCGTGCCCGCAAGCTGATCATCCAGCAAATCTTCACTGCTGCCAACTACGAGTACGCCATCCAGTGGGTCTTCCACCAGGACGGTACTATCCAGCCCGACATCAAGTTGACTGGTATCCTCAACACCTATGTCATGAACCCCGACGAGGACACCAAGGGCTGGGGCACCCAGGTCTACCCCGGCGTCAACGCACACAACCACCAGCATCTCTTCTGTCTCCGCGTGCACGCCAACGTCGACGGACCCAACAACACAGTCTTCGTCTCCGACGCGGTCCCCTCGGACGCTCCCGTGGGGAGCCCCGAGAACTTCTACGGCAACGGCTTCACCGCCAAGAGGACCAAGCTGGCCACCGAGGGCGAGTCGGCGACCGACTACAACGGTGCCACCAGCCGTACCTGGGAGATTTGCAACACCAACAGACTCCACCCATACAGCGGCAAGGCGTCAAGCTACAAGCTGGTCAGCCGTGAGGTTCCCGGCCTGCTGCCCAAGGAGGGCTCTCTAGTCTGGAAGAGGGCTGGCTTTGCCCGCCACGCAGTCTATGTGACCAAGTGTAAGTGATCGAATAACCCCCCCTAAACGACGACATGGTCCATCTTACTAACACCCTCACAGACCGCGACGACGAGCTGTGGCCCGCAGGCCGCCACGTCCCCCAGACCTCCGGAGAGCCCAGCGCCGGCATCACCGAGTGGATCGGCGACGGCACCACCCCCATCGAAAACACCGACATCGTCCTGTGGCACACCTTTGGCGTGACGCACATCCCCTCCCCCGAGGACTTCCCCGTGATGCCGGCCGAGCCCATCACGCTCCTGCTGCGGCCCCGCAACTTCTTCAACAACAACCCCGTCATGGACATTCCCCCCTCGTACTGCAGCACCCCGAGCCAGGTGGCCGCCGCTGGCGAGGGCGTACTGAACGCCCGGGACGAGATGAGCAAGCTGGCGTTTGGCGAGAGCAGCGGCAGCTGCTGCTCGAAGCTGTGAGAAATTGGGGATATATGTAATGGGTTCGGGGGCAATGTATTGCATAGCTATTGATTTATGAGTTTTAGAGATCTGGGATATAATGAATGAATAAAATCTACTTGTAACAAGTCTGTGAGGGGAGATCTTGCTGTGAGATGAAGTCTGAAGGTCTTGTACCAAACTTATAAATGGTGTTATCATTGGACATCAAGATTCCATCTTTGAATACCTGCTGAAATTTCCAGCAAGGAGTGAATAGTATCCTTTTCCCGTCTCTCTCAATCAGCAGCCTAGAGAGCTGTACTTCGATCATATCAAATGTACAAACTTCCCATCAATCGGAGGGCTTCTCGCAGCTACAAAGCCCTCCGATTCTGTAGCTGCGAGAAGCCCTCCGATTGATAGGAGGCTTGTACATTTGATATAATCGAGGTACAGCTCTCTTGACTGCTAACTGACGATTGCCATTATCCCTTGAAGGGCCGGGTCACTCGTAACAACCGGGCCCTCTCTGGAAGGAATGATGAAGTCAGTTGTGTTTATTTTGTTGTTATTATTGCTTGTAGTGGCTGTTAGTGATGAGAGATGATTGTGATTGAGAAGTGTCCTCGCTAGATGCGATCGATCGATTGACGAGCTTGGAAAAGTGGTTGTTTTGTTGATGGATGGTAAGTTTCCCCTTGTAGGGGTTATAACTAGTTATATGCCTCTGGCGTAAATGACTCCTATTGTTAGAGTTTTTGAGGTATTAATACCTGTACCCAGGCTGTGAAGGTAATTTTTTTTAACTTTGATTCTGTGGAAGGTCTGGGTACCTAGGTACCTATGGACCGGTGACTGTGTATAAAACCCTATATCTAGGTATATTGCTTAATTACGTGTTGTACCTGATCTTGGGATAACCTTGGTCGTAGCTGAAGAAAAAAAAAAACCTTTTTCCGCCTTGATGCTTTCTTATTATTGCTTTATTTTGATATTCCGTGGGAGCACAAAGTCGATGCCCTCGGTGGTAGGTGTGCTATATTTTACCTGTCACGCTTGGCATCAAACACCGACGGTATTGGCATCCGCTCTTTTGGCCGTTTCATACGCGCTTACAGAACAAAACCCGATAGTCATGAATAAAAAAGTGACAGCGAACTCACATTGGAGAGATGCATGTGGAACAGGCAAGCTGCGACATGCAGAGAGAATGAAGAACCAGACCACGATTGGTGGCATTTTATAGCAAAAGCATGCACATACAACATTGGCACGCACATCGTACCTGGAGATCAGCCTGCATTCAAGCAAATCATTGCTTGGAACTGCAAGTGTGCTGCAGGCATGTGATGAGGATGCGAGGAGGGATTGGCTGTCTAGACCGACCTTTTCAGTCGGCCCGCTGCCAGCGCAACCGCCGAGGGTGAGAGCTGACTTCTGCTGCCTCACCGTCCCTTCATCCCTTTGATTTCGTGTGTGTCGGAATACTTCCCCTGGTGCAACCCAACATGAGGCTAGGGGTCCGGCGTCGGGACAGTCAAATGAGAATTTTTTCCTCACTATGACTGGACCAAGAGTGGCGGCTATGACCCATAAGGATGAGTCGAAATGAGGTAAAAATAATTATGAAAATTAGAAAACGGCGGAATCTGTTGCTTTGATTGTTAACCTGCCTCAGCATGGAAGCGATCAACACGGGATGAGTCGCATCATTCTCCTGCACAGGTGGCAAGACATGCTCAGCAACAGCCGCTACACACAGTGCACAGCGCACCGCAGCACATCACGCGCAGCTCGCAGCAGTTTGAAGACTCGACAGTGGACACTCGAGTGCTTTCCGGCAGGCCTCCCAGCGATCTCTGCATCTAGCCGATGGACCTCTTGTTGCAGGCGGCGACAGAAGTGGTAATTGCTGGGACCAGCCCTACCCACCACGATGGCCAGATCCCTGCAGAGGGCTAAGCCGGCAAACACGGCAGGGCCATGTACCAAGCCAAGGAGCTATGTATAGCTGTGTAGCGAGTCTGTCGTAGTCGAGAGCGGAAGCAATTAGCTGGGCTGCCGTGAGAGCAGGAGGGAGAAGGCTCTGGACACATGCATGGATGTGAAAGAAAGGGCCCTGGCACGCGCCACCGGACCAGGTAAAATTTAACCATAAACTAATTAGCCCGCGTCAGATCTGGGGAAACTCTTGCTTTATTATGACTTGCTTTGTCCCTCCTGAGCTGAGGGCTGTTTCATTGTCTGTCCTGTCTGACCTGAACGTCGACGCAGAGTTGATCAACACACCCACCTCAACTTACTCTTACTTATTACCTCCCTAATACCTAATTCTGCTGCCATCTACAACTCACTCGCACAGTCACATTAAACGCACAGAGTTCCGGCAACTAACCTTAAAATTTCTCGACTATTTTTTGCTGCTTTCCTCGACCAGCCTGGTATGGCACAAACTCTTTCATCGACTGAAAACCATCAGTTCTTTGACCGGAGCCCACTCGACCAAGCACACCGGGGCAGCGACTATGACCCAGACACTGCTGGGAGGAGGCCGCCCTATGCCTCAACCGAAGGCAACGGGAGGCAGCCTGATCGCAGCAACGCAGACGACGATGAGGCGCCGCGTCGCAAGAAGGCCCGGTACTCCTCGCGCCCACAGCGATTCTCACTTTACCCCAAGATGACCTCCCAGGTTGGGAATGGGCTCTCTGGCCTACCATCAGCTTGCGAGATGACTCCCCAGGCCAGAACTGTCGTCCATGACTGTGAGTGATGACCATGCTGGCGGCTGCAGCTGTCACAGTCCAGCCCATTCTAGTCCAGCTCAGCCCCAGACAGCCCTCCGCACCACACAGACCGAAAAGCATCGCTAACCCGCAATACCATCGCGCAGTCATGTGTCGCGTCACAGATTCCACTGGCTATCCCACACTCGCCAAGCTGGCAACATCAGCATCGGCCAAGAAGCTCTGGTTCCAGTACATGCTGGTTGATGAGGCTTGTAAGTCTTCCCGCTTAACCCTTTTCTTGGCGGTTGGCTGCCAAGACGCATCGCTACCCACCGCCAGGTTGGGAGCGACTCTCAGGGGGTGGGCTCACGCTGACTCTACCGGCAGATTTCCACTGCTTCGTCGCTCTGTCGGAGGCATGCGTGGACTTGGCTCTTGGCAAGAAGAGGGAGAGCTGCTCGTCCGAATATCGTCACCACCTCGCCACAGCCCTGCGCCTCATCAATTCCAACCTCTCCAGCCACGAGGCCGTCTCGGACACCAACATCGCCGGCGTCATTGCCTTGTGCGACGTTGGCCTGATTCGTGCAAATCTCTGCCAGGCCAGGGCCTACTTTGAAGGATTATGTCGGATGATCAAGGTGCGCGGTGGAACTGGCCAGCTCCAGGGAAACCCGGCGCTTCTCCAGAAGGCGCAGAGGTAAGGAACCACCTCATTTCAATGTCATACCATCCTTTTTTCATGTTGGGGTTGGTCACCTTGTTACAGCACATGGATACTGACGCGCGTTTGTTTGGTGATTAAGCATCGACATTGACCTGGCACTGCTGGGGTGGTGCCCTGCCCAACTGAGCAAGTCTGCCAAGGAACTGGACCAGATCGTTCCCATCTTCTCCGTCTTGGAGGTCACATCCCCGCTCGTCAATGCGGTGCGGAACACCGACCAGGATGTTTTCAAGGCAGCGCAGGATGTCATGAAGATGTCCCGCATCTTCAACTCGAGCGTCGCGTCGAGGAAGCTCGGCGCGGATGCGTTCCACGACATCGTCATCAGCCTCTGCTACCGGCTCCTGGGCATCGGTGCCATCAGCGGCGCCTCCAAGCTGAGCAACCCCGTGGCCAGGGCTGCGCACCTCGGCCTGATTGCCTTCATGACGACATTCCTCCCTCATCTCAGCCATGGCCGGGATCAGATGTACCATGTCTTGTCGCGAAAATACAAGGCTGCCTTGTCCAACGCTGCGTTTCGCAAATCGATTGATCCCGCCACTCATCTTTGGCTCCTCATGGTCGCCGGCTTGTCGGTCCTCGAGGACGGTGAATTCAGCGAATGGCTTGCCCCTCGCATATCTGAGGTTCTCGATCAGTTTGGCATGGATGAGTGGTCATTTGCTCGCCGACTGATGGGCAAGTACCCGTGGGTCAACAGCGTGCACGACACTCCCGGGGCCGCTGTCTGGCAAAAGTGCTTCCCTACATCAACAGCACAAAACAATTAAGGGCAGGATCCCTCAAAGGCTGGATATACACGATATGACGACGATCAACGCCACTAAATCCCCCCGCTCTTTCTCTACGACATTTATTGTACCTTCAAACCTTACGACTGAAATGATACCTATGGTTATAATTGTTTTTTGAATCCTTCAGTCTTTTCGCTATTATCATATATTACTTTTCTTATCATATACCCCTCGTTGAATTTAGGAAACGGAGAATTTAGTATAGAAATACACGTGTCATGTTTTTTTTTGTTGCAACGGCCGGGCTGTTTTCATCACTTTCGCATATAGATATAAATGCCGACCTCCATATATTCATACGTTCGTGTGGAATGCATCTGTTGACATGGTAATGATGGTGTGATCTGATTCATAATGCATTGCCCTGAGAAATGTTTTGGGAGATGTGGCGCGATGTCGAGTGTCGGGCTGCTTGGCATATGCCGGGAATCAGCTGAGCATCAACCGGGCATCAACCAAACCGATGCGTCCAAGAATATCATCCCACATTGATGAAATACATGATATTTATTAATTCCCAAAAATTGAGTCTTCAAGCAGCTGAAGATCAAGGAATACGAACTTGGTGTATCAGGTGGGCGCGTTGGTGTGCATTCCAAGTTGTATGCGCGCTGGAAACAATGGCTCGGCAGATTTCATATTCTTTCATGTGATGACTTTCAATTCACGGACCGCCGCTTTAATAAAGGAATTTCGTGTAAACGGAACCAGTTGCTATTGAGGAGGGACTTGGATCTCTCTCTACGTCAGAAGTGCGTAATCTCATCAGGTAGATTAGTTCGAGTCTAACAGGAACCACCGAGTAACGGTGGAAACCATTGTTCGTATGGTCGTCCTAGTGGGATTTTGTGATTCTCGATCATTGATGAAACCCCCTCGGTCCCGTGTTTCCAATAGTAGCGCCACTCCAGGAGATGGGAAACCGATATAATGCGCTGTGGCTGGACTATTGGCTCGGGGCGTGGTTTTAGCTCGGGAGAGAAAAGCAATAAGAAGAGGCAGCCCTTTGATGTTGGTGAATTGATTAAGAGGAAGCCATTCTTTTAATTTAGTATGAAGTACCACCCGCGATTATTAAACGGCTGTGCCGTCCTCTATCCACAGTCCAGCCGCGACTCTGGTGAGGCTTGTCCACGGGAATCTGCGACATGGGCTGTTAGATTACGTCGATGGTAGAAGGGACAAGTCTAGACCCCGAAAGCTCGACCGCAGGCGGGGAAGTAACGCTGTACAATCTCAGCTTCAGCTTCGTTGTGCTTCCCCAACCAACCTAAGCTGCTGGCAGATTGACTGAGCACTTAGATGTACGTAGCCGTGTGGTAGGAGATCCGGCTCAACGGACACTACACCGAAATGCGACAGCCATTCACTATTCCAGCAAAGATTTTCACGCACCGAGATAGCGGCACATGGGGAGATGTGTCTTGGTTGCTTTAGCGCTGGGCAACCGCCAACTCCACACATTCAAGCCCACTTTCGGGAACCAGGGAAGCTTGCTTTTCAGCTTGTCTGGCCTTTGCCTCACCAGGCGTCAGTTTGAAATATTGGCCTTGACTCTTTTGGGCGTTGCTTGGCGTGTGTGCGTCGTGCGAGGAGAGACATGATGCCCAGGATCTATGGCGGATCTTCTCAGATGCGTCTGATCCACTCGCTGTTGTGCATTGCCTATGAGATGTGACATGCTCTCAGAGATACAAACCCTCTTGATCGATCCTCGGTGATTAAGAAAAGGATTCAGGCAATTCCCGAGTCGACATTTCTTTGCTCTTCAGGGAGGGCATCTCGGGTTGGCCGATCACGCTACCGTTTGCTTGACAGGCGTACTCGAGCGTGTTCTCCCTTGCTTCCCACCGTTTTGTTGCTTGCTTTTTCCAGTCGACCGAACAATCTCCTTCCTTCACCTTGTGTGACCACTGGCCCGTAATATATTGGTTTGGTATCTCTTCCGTCGACAAATGCGCTCTCCTGCATTGACCTTCCTTGCTTCACACCCACATTGTGCTCCCACCTCAAGCCTCCTCGGGATGATGAGAGGTCACCCAATACCAGCTTCTGGCAAGTCATTGGCCGGCCGGACGCTTTGAGGTCCAGTGGCTGCAATGACTAGCAAAGCAATCAACCTGCGCAGCCCGCTAGCGATGTGATGATTTGATCCATCCCCCCGCTTCCCCACCAGTCTGGATGATGGCCAGAATGTTAGTATCCTCTCTTTGTCATGTCACTTCATGACTGATGCTCTGCTATACGCAGATCAGGGTTTGCTGGCTGCCTAACTGAGCATAGTAGTAGACGGTGGCTGTAGCCTTTTCGATCTCCTAGGCGTTGAACATTGATTCATCCGTGCCCGATCCCCATTGTCTCTTCTATCTTATTCCTGTCCATCACTCCATCGTCATATCATAACCATTTCCTCCTACCATCCGATCGTCCTCCTACTTTTCCCAGGTACCGACCAGAGAGTGCTGCGGAATTGTCCTCTTATCCTCTTTAGGTCTACCCGGAATACCTGCCCATTGAGACATCCACACACCATCCTTATCGAACCTGGGACCGTGCCCCTTTCAATTGTCTCAGTCTATCGCTTCTAACCACGTTACAACAGTGGTGAATCACGGAGCCATCGGAAAACTGATTCGACCCGTGTCTTGCTTCTTCCCACCACTATTGACGGTCCCCGCTGAGGTTGTGCTCACTTACACGCCACGATCGGGCGAGTTCGTCCCCATCACAGCTGTGCCGTGTTAACCACCACACGAGGTCATCTCCGATACCCACGAGTTTGTCTCACTGCGCAGTCTAGACTGACACACTCCCCTCCACAAGTCCGGAGGCACATGGACAGTGGTGCTATCCACGCCTCATAAGCTCAAGAAGGGCTCCTCTTTCTCAGAAAAGACTGAGACTAGGAGTTTTGCTCATTACTTGTCAAGCGGCCGAGTTGGCAAAAGCTCGTAACAGCCGATTCGTCCAGCACCAGGCCCGGGCCAGCTCAGGTTGTCACGACTCCTGCTTGATCAGAGACACGGCGCTAGATCTGAAAGCACCAGCCTCGAACGGCTTCTAAACGATCAGGAGGTGGTGACAGCGATCGGCTCCTCCCTCTTAAATACTCCTAGGATTCAGAATGGAGTTTCAGCGAGGCGCTCTAGATGTGAAACCCGCAGGAAGGTCAATCTCACCATCCTCAAACCCCGCCAACTGGCGTTCCTCATATATCTCAACACAGTCAACAGACGACGCAACACTCAGCAGCCACGCTGCCACCCCTTCAAAGACCATGGACCCGGAAGCAGAACGCTCCCGGAGCAAGCCGCAGTGGCTCAACCAGATCAAGGACTGGCTGTCCGTCAGCGAGCCCTCCGCGCAGGCGATGAAGGAGCAGCGGGACAGGACCTACAAGAAGTTCGGCGTCGACGCAAAGGACCCCCGGGCGGCCGCCAAGCTCCACCTCCCCATCGGCAAGATCCCGTCCGGGGCGACGACGTCGACGGCGGGGCCCACGCCGGAGAAGGCGCTGCTGCGGACCATGAGGGAGAAGCGGGAGCGGCGGTCGTACATGAGCCTGAACGACACGTCGTGCTCGCTGAGCAGCTACGGGTCCGCGGGGTCGGGCGAGCCTAACCCGGTGACGCCCTGGGATCCGCGGTGAGAGGGCCAAGGTTGCGGGGGGGAGTGTTTGGGAATACCAGATACTTTACACTGGCATGCTTTGATGGGGGAGAAGCGACGGAGCAACTGATATATACACTTGGATATCCCGGCTCGGGCAGATACGCCAGCTGGTTTGAGAGGATAAACGGAGAATTTGTATTGTTGCGTTTACGAATAGGAAATGCGGCCACGAATAATGAATAGCAATCTACCTACCTGTATAATCCCGAGATCATCAGAAAACAAAATGGAACGAGTTGAAGCTGAATGGTAAATCAGGCAAGTGGCATGCACGGCGCGGACTTAGCTTCTGATATGCAACGTTGACTGCAACCACAACGAGTTGGTGTCGTGTATAGTGTCTTGATGTTTGATCGCAGCCGAAAGACAGCACCGTTGGCCAGGGTGTGCCACGTTTTTTGCCACTTGTCCAAACCCGGAGCCTCAAGCCTGGGACAGTGTGACCACGAGACTGCTCAATTATGAAATGGTGCAGAGCTTAAAGAGGATGCCGGGCCAGTGGTGGGGATCGATCTGGGAGCCGACGAGGTTCTCGATTGGCGATTGCGGGCATCTGGCTGAGTATGACGTAGACCATTTGCTTGGATCACGGCATCGCAAGATCCAATGCCCATATTTCAGGAATGGCGATTTGCACCTCTTAATTTTTTCCTCAATTCCTTTACAGAAAGACCCCTGCGTCCTTTTCTAAATTAATTGACCCTGGGAAGACATAAACGACTTCCACTGGCGGCACGACGTTGGTTGGCACCAAGCTATCCATACAACTGCCAAGGAGCTACCAAAGGTCCTTTTGATTGGAATACTACGCAATGAGCCCTACAAAGAACGAGGACGCTCAGCGGAGGGACTCGTCGGTCGACGGTCTCGACGGGGGCGAGGGCGCGTCGCCTCCGGACGAGCACACCCGCCTGCTCCCGAACAGGGTCGACTCGAACCGCGAGCTGCTTCTGCCCGACGACCCGGCCGTCTCCCCGTACAACCTGTGGACGATCCGCATCCTGCGATACGTGACCATCCTCTTCGCCGTCCTCACCTTTGTGTGGTGGACGCTGCTCCTCGTGTCCACCTTTGCGACGCCGCCCGGCTTCCACCAGCGGGGGAGCAACTTCTACGCCTTCAGCTTCGCAAGCATGACGTTTGCAAATCTGCTCTTCACTCTCCTCTTCTTTAGTGTGCCGGCCAAGTCTGTGAGGATCGTAGCTCTCTCCATGTCGGTATGTGACTTCCCTTTTATTTTTGTCATGATAGGCAAGTGAAGGTTCATCTCTGATTCAACGAGTTTCTAGTTGGTCTTGCTGCTTGACATGATCCTCCTCTTGTCTGTCCAGAAGACTCGAGAGGAAGAAGGCTGGGTGGGCACAGTAAGTGTCATCTGGTCGGTCCTCATGAGCCTCTGGGCCCTGGTCGTAGATCGAACCGTCAAATGGGGCAAGGAGGAGGAAGAGGAGCGCCTGACGGGCCGCGCAGAGACTCGACGCACCGCCGCTGAGTGGCTCATGGTGATGATATCGACGATTGCCTACATCATCATGTTAGTCGCTGCCGTCCTCATCACCTTGACCATTATCCTACGAGCGGTGGATGCGGGTCTCACGGCACCCGGCCAGCTCTACTGGGTCGACGACGGCAAGTACAGGATTCACATATTCTGCCACGGTGAGAAGAAGGTGGACGAACTTGGCGCCGACCTGCCCACCGTCCTCCTCGAAGGGGGTGAGCGGCCCGTCGAGCACGGGCTCTGGAAGCTCGCGGACAACGCGGTCAAGAACGGCTCCATCTCGCGGTACTGCTTCGCCGACCGGCCAGGATACGCATGGTCGGAGGCGGCGCCATCGCCACTCTCGGCTGGATTCGCGACAGATGTCTTGGGCGAGGCGCTGGCCCAGGCCGGAGAGCATGGGCCGTGGGTCCTGGCTAGTGCCGGCATCGGTTCCATCTACTCGAGGATCTTCTCCTCCCGCAACGGGCCCGAGGCGATCCGAGGACTGCTGCTCATCGATCCTCTGCACGAGGACCTGCTCGGTGGCGTCGGGAGGCCGGGACGAGGCTTCCTCCTGTGGCTGAGGGGCGTCATATCACCGCTGGGCCTGGATCGCTTGCCTGGCGCGCTCTTCCGCGGCCGCACGAGCAAGGACCGCGTTCACGGGCGGTCCGCGCAGCAGGGCGGGAAGCTCATCTTCGCGAAGCTACAGGAGAGCCTAGTGGCGGGCTCGTTCACCAAGCGGGAGGTGGACAGCAGCCGCGAGATCCAGCGCAAGGAGGTGCCGCTGATCGTGGTCAGCTCCGGGGAGCGCGTCAAGGAGAGCAGCGACTGGGGCAAGAAGCAGAAGGACTTGACCACGCTCACTGACAACCTGAAACAGTGGGACGTCGTCGACCATGCACCGCACGAGGTGTGGTCGACGTCTGCGGGCCGTGACATCATTGAGAAAAGGCTCAAGGAGCTCGTGCACGGCAGGCGGAAGTAGGAGGAGGCGGGTTATTTGCTTTGGAATAATGCAGTGGGCCAGCCTAAGCAGCTCATCATGCCACCCCCAGCAATGCCAAGACTGAGATTTGACAGCAATGTGTAGAGTGTCGCGCTGGAGGGTGGTTTTAGTTTCTTTTTCGAGGCGTACCTTTGCTTCAGTAATGTTAATCAATTCGTATAAATATAAGGTTCTTTTCTTCAAACAAGTTTCTCCCCCCCGTGCTTGCTGAATACGACTACGAATGCACGAAGATGTTGATATGCAGGCACGAAGTCTGATACCAACAACTTTGAACACGAGCTCCCAGCTGTTGGGGCTATCCGATGGTCATGCCAGCAGCCGATCCTTAAGGCGACCCAAGGCGGGCTCGTTGGGTACATATCGAGGATGCGGGTTAGTTCATGTAGCGGTGCAGTTGTCGGTGAGTGCCCAAGAGCAGCAAACGGTGGAGCTCGAGATGCAAAGATGTTGGTGTTGATAGGTCCAAATTAACTACCTACCTATCTTAGAGGCAATTAATGGATTTCCTGGATATCGGAAGTCGATCTTGGCTGCTGTCAGCGCTAGCAGGTGGTCGTGAGCCCCGATTGAAGGCGCCAGGTGCAACTCACCACTATCGTGGGCCCTCGAAGTCAGTTACAGGGCTCAACTACCTGTAGCTAAGGATTAGTAGTCAATGCGGCTGCAGGACCATGTGTGCATGCGATATGACGTCCCAACTGGGTGACATTGAAATTGAGACACTCGAACATTAAGCTACTTATTTTCGAGTCCAAGGCCGGAAGCTCCTTGCTGAACAGAGAAGAAACAACTTTCACGAGGCAATTATCTGCCTATAGCCCTTCATCTTTATCTCACCTCCAAGGTGCATAGGCTGGCTGCTGTTGTGGTCTTGAAAAGTGTTGCTTCAGAATTCTTTCGAGTTCCCACTTGTAGAAAAGGGAAAGTCCCTTTGGGCCTAATACATCATTAGAGGCAGGCTCTACATGGGTATAACCCAGCAACGGGGTGACACAAAAATTAAAACATTGAAGAGCGACCACTCTTTATAACAGCCAGAATACTTAGGCAGTATAAACGAAATTAATTAGGAATACTTCATATACTGCTTCTTATATACTTATCATTGGCACTCGGTTCTCTGACACTCAGTGAACTTCCAGAGGCTTTGTCGCGCATGCAGCAGCGTAAACGTTGCAAGCTCCGAAAAATACTGCGGCTTCAGGTCATCCGGAATGCCATCGAGATCCTTAGAATTTTGCTCACGGTAGGAAGCAGAGGACGTGATCCTCAAGTATTCATCTCGATCGTCTTTGATGTAACCAATGCACACGAGAGTGCCGCTGTACTTCAGCAAGATGGCATTGAGTATAAGGCGGCACAACCTGCCATTCCCATTCTGAAATGGGTGGATGTTCGCGAAGATGTGGGAATATTTCGCTGCAAGGCCAACAGGGTCGATATCCCCAAGTTTCTCAGCCTCTTTTAAGTCGGAATTGAGACCTTTGATCATGCTCTGCATAGCATATGGTACTCTTGTATGCTCCATGTAAGATTGGAAGCCAGTCAACACAGGACACTTTCTGTAGATTCCACTGTACTCTGTCCACGGAGCGCCCTAGTCCGTGTCAATCTTGAACGTCAGGATTCTGTGTGCCTCCATTATTATCCCCTCAGATAGGTCTTTACCGTCGAGGTAGACCTGTTGAATCATATATCGAGTAGCTTTGGCATGCTGGATGATCTCGCGATAACTTTGAAGAACTGCCAGAAAACCATGGGGCAGATTCATAGCCCTTAGGTCTTGTTTTAGAAGCTCGTAGTCATTGTCCCGCTCTATAATTTCTTCGCGGATCTCCTCGCTTTTGAATATTGACTCGCAGAGCTTCTTTGTGATGCCAAACCCTGCCCCAGCGCTTTCAATCAAGTTTGAGCCATAAACCATCGTGGCTAGAGTCTCCACGAGCACCTGATCGAACACATCATGATTGGCAGGTTGCTCTTTCAGCATCTTGGCAACTTGATCGATAAGATATTCAAATTCTTCGTACAGAGCTTCAGGCTCGATGTCGTCAGGGATATCGTAGTCATAGTTCTGAGACATTTCGATGTTAAGGTATTTATCAACGCCGCCAAGTGATTTGATACGGAGATTGCCGTAGCCCGGAAGCGAAGCAGCCATTTTGAGACGGATGGATTTGCCTAGATGGAAAGAGGCCATATTGCTGTCTTGGGTTAGTTAAGCTTCTAATTGCCATATTTTAGAATACTTCTTCAAGGCGTCATCGTTGGTGTTTTGGTGGTGATGGAATGAAGAAGTTCGGGCGATGAAGGCCGGCGAAGCTACCTTCCTCCAGAACAGCTTCCTCGGAAGCATCCATCGAGCACCTCTGCAACCGCCACCGTAAAAGAGTTTCTCACAAGCACTACCTCATACAAACTTACGTGTTCCGACAAGTGGCTAACATTGAATTTGAGGCACTCACGCATTACACTGCTTAATCTAGTTTGAGTTTGCCATTAGTCTGTCGTCCTTTAAAATTGGGATTGAAGTGCAAAAACTGACGATGTGGCCATGGAGGTTAACTCGTGGTAACGATCTAAAGGGAAATAAACAAGCTCCCTGTCGATCTGCCTGTGGCTGTGACTTAGAGAGAGGCTAAGACAAGCTGAAACATAAATAGCAATTCCTGACATGTCCCCCCTACTGCTCGAAAAAAAAAAACCCTATGCTGTTCGATGCGGGCCAGGTCTGCTTTTGTCTCTGATCAGCATGAGCAAATTCCGATGCCGATGCCAATTTCCCCAGAGTTGGTAGGCATGCTCTGCTGCAGGTCAGGGCACGCAGCCAAACCCAGATTCGAAGAGGGACATAAGTTGCAGGCAGGAAATTGCATCAGGCCCACGCCCAACAGGCAAGGAGGTAAGCTGGAGTACCTAAAATGCCTATAGCATGGAGCATTTAGTTGGTGGCGGGCCACTAGCTCTTCAGGCTGGGCTGGGCTGGGCTGCTCCACTACCTGGCAGTTGCCCAGCCTCGAGGATGGAACCAACCTTGGCAGGCATTGAGCAGCCGCCCGGTAAGCCGCCGTTTGCTCTGGGAGGGGGCCATCGTCTGCCCACCCACGCTAGCATGAGGTATCTGGGAGCGCTGTTTTGTAGAGAAACCGTAGATAGAGAGGCAGAGGACGATGGAGGTACCCAGCTAGGTAGGTAGCTTTGCATCTGAAATCGGACTTGCCAGTCCTGGCTGGCGGATTCAATGGAACCACTGGCGGCTTGTGGGAGGTGCCCGTGGTTACATAGTACCCGGGCCTCGTTGCTCGGGGGGGCAGATCAGTGGCCGGGCGCCCAAGTTCTAACGGGCTGGTGCAGGCCCAGCTAATTAGCGAGCTCTCGACCTACCACTCATCCACTAAAAGGTCACCTACGTGCTGTAGCAGAAAGTTACGGAGCATCTCGTCATTTCGCACAACCCAGCTCTCCTCTTCATTTAGGGCCCCTTTCCTCCTCCGACGATATTCCATTCCTGCGGCGTTGGGCCTCGCCGTATACCATTCTCCTTCTCTTCTGCCAGAATCCACGTGCTACACACTGGAGCGGTAGTCTTCGCTCCTTCGCCCATCGGAACTAGCACCTCCCACTTCGTTACCGCCAAGCTGTTCCCTCTGCCAGTCTGTGCCTTGTCACCCCAACAGCCAGTCGCAGCGTGTCGTTGAGCGACCAAGTCACGCGAACACCTCTTACTCGTCCGTAATTTTTCGACCACGGCGCCCTCGAACCGCGCCTTACCATCCCAACACCAAACGAAGCCGACTTTACCATTTTCCAAATATTCCTCCTTTGATCCAGAGTAGCTTTCCAGCTGATGCCGACCGCCACAACCCCTCCCCGACCACTGCTAGGCTTCAGGCGCTAATTGCTCCTGCGTTTCTGACTGGTTCTTGGCCGGGAGGGGATTCCAATCGTCAAAGAGGAGGACTCGACCGAGGCATAATCCCCCAGCATGGCGTCGGAACCGAATCACAGTCCCTTGGGGGACTTTCGTGGGAACCGTCACAACGACTTCCCCAGCCCTGGCCCCATGGCCATCGGGGAGAGGGACATGCAGAATGGGGCCCACATCCCCCCAGATGGCGGACAGCATCGACTGAAGTCCAAGGCGTCTGGATCAAGCAATTCAGGAATCCCCCTCGCGAACAGGGACGGCGAGAGAGGTGGCGGTGGTAATGGTGGTGGAGAGAGGAATCGGTCGCGAGGAAGAAACAACAGTGGGCGGACTGCAAGTGGGCAGCTGAGAGTCTGCAAGAAGTGCGGCGAACCACTGACAGGACAGTTTGTACGAGCCCTGGATGGGACCTTTCACCTCGACTGTTTCAAATGTCGCGTATGTGCACCCCCAATGCCCCCCTCCAGAAGCATACTGACATTTGTTCCTCCTAGGACTGCGGCGATATCGTAGCATCCAAATTCTTCCCGGTGGAAGACGAGAACGGCGAGGGGCAGTATCCCCTCTGCGAGACAGACTACTTCCGACGACTGGGGCTTTTATGTTACCAATGCGGTGGAGCGCTCCGAGGATCATACATCACCGCTCTGGACCGCAAGTACCATGTTGACCATTTCACGTGCTCGCTTTGTGATACGGTATTTGGTGCGCAAGACAGCTATTACGAGCACGACGGCAATGTTTACTGCCATTACCACTACTCAACGCAATTCGCCCAGCGATGCAATGGCTGCCAGATTGCCATTTTGAAACAGTTTGTCGAGATATTCCGCAATGGACAGAACCAGCACTGGCACCCAGAATGTTACATGATACACAAGTTTTGGAATGTGCGGCTTTCTCAACCCACAGATGAGCCACCGATGGCCAATGCGTCAGATGATCCAACAAGTCGAGACATGATCCGAGATGTGGAGGAGCGTATGGAAGAAAAAGTATATCGCATCTGGAGCGTACTATCGACGTTCGAGGAGTCCTCTGCCGCCTGCATTTCCGACATGCTTCTTCACGTCAGCAACGGAGCTTATATCGACGGTGTTCTAATAGCTAAGCGCTTCATTTGGCACGTTGAGATTCTGTTCCAGTCCACCGACAAGCTAGACGAGACCATGAGCAAGCTAAATGGGAAAGGTATGTTATACTCATTTTCTCCTGCTCAAGTATCAACGCGCAAGTGCTGACTAGGAACACCTTGTAGGCATGTCATACGGACGAGAAGCAAAGCTTCTCTGTAAGAAAATCGTATCATTCTTTTCGTTGCTTTCCAAAAACCAAGATTCAGGATCCCGCAAAGTTGGCGTCACACAAGAACTTCTTTCCCTCGTCACAGGGCTGGCTCATTACCTAAAACTTCTTATTCGCATTTGTCTTCAGGGTGCACTCCGGCTGGAGCGAGAAGCCAGCACATCCGAAGGCCTCTACCAGTTTCTCGATGACCTCAACGACTTCGAAGCCGTTAAGAACGATGAAGGCGCTCTGCAGGTTACCCAAGGTGGGCTTCGACTCTCAGCGATGGACTCGGATCACTGCGCGCTTTGTAATCGATCTGTGGAGGACGAGTGCGCAAAGAACGGCGACATACGATGGCATCTTAATTGCGTCAACTGCACCCGCTGTCGGCGAGAGCTAGGACGGACGTTGGGAGAAGCTTTATTCAGTCCCATTGACCGAAGGATTTACTGTGTGACTTGCCTTGGTTCTCAAGCCGATGCTACCTCGGTCTGCGAGCATGTGTCCAAACTCCAACAATATGTCTTCCTGCTCAGGGTGGCACTCGCGCGCCTTTTAGACATTCTGAGGAGCAACGGAACCATCTCTGAAGCTGGTGGGAGCGAGGTGTCCAGAAACCCAGGAGACCCCCCCTTGCTCGAGTCGAGGTCCAAATCTCATAACGCTGCTACCGACAGAGATCATCGCCGTGAGTCGTCTTACGAGAACACTCTTAATGATGTCCGCCGACTACGCAGCACAAGACTAGATCGCCATTTGTCGTCCAGCGTTAGGCAAGCTAGGACCTCCCGGGTGATGGACGCGGATGGCCAAGGACCTCGCCCTGGGTCACCCGGTGCCGATGGGAACCAGAACATCCAAGGATCTACAGATGTCATGTTCGGACAGAACGATGCCATCACTCTTGACGACATCCCTCGAATTGTCGCCGTTGAACAGTCACAACAACAAGAACGGGAGCGCCAGTTAAATGGGCGATCCCCCGCGGGGGACGGGGGTCACCAACGAACCCAATCGTCAGGAAGAGATCAAGACGTCCACGGCAACGACATGTTGCAGACGCGGATTAATCGCAAGTTCTTTTCCGAGTTGTCAGGACTGGAGTACTTCAACGTCAGGCATCTCGCAGTTTTGACCATGCAGCCCATGATTGAACAAGAGTTTTCTCTTGATGAGCTTTTAGGCTTTATCGAATCAAGGAAGCAAGCCACATTCTGGAAGAATCTTGGAAAGGCCTTCAAGAACGATAAAAACAAGAACGTCAAGAAGAAGGGGGTATTCGGCGTACCCATCGAGGTCATTATCGAGCGAGACGGAGCAGACTCGACTGATGGTGTAGGCCCTGGCGCTTTGCGAATTCCTGCAGTCATCGACGACATCATCTCATGCATGCGCAAGATGGACCTGTCAGTGGAGGGTGTGTTCCGCAAGAACGGTAATATCAAGAAGCAACAGGAAATGGTCGAGAAGATTAATGCCGAAGGCTGTGACGTGGTCAATTTCATGGAGCAGCCCGTAGTGCAACTAGCAGCACTCCTGAAGCGATACCTCAGAGATCTGCCTGACCCTCTGATGACACACAAGCTCTACAAGTTGTGGATTAGTGCGGCCAAGATTAACGACCCCGACCAACGGAGACAATGTCTACACTTAACATGCTGTCTGTTACCGAAGAGCCACCGGGATTCTCTGGAAATTCTGTTCTCCTTCCTCAAATGGGCCGGGTCTTTCCACCAACTTGACGAGGAACTTGGATCCAAGATGGACGTCAGGAATCTGGCCACTGTGATTGCACCAAATATTCTCACCAACACGTCGAAAGCAATGGCCTTGGATAACGAAGCTATTTTCGTTATCGATGCCGTCGAGATGCTAATTTCAAATATCGAGGAGATGTGCCAGGTAAGTCCTCCCATTTCCCCCAACAAATTATTGATTCAAAC